AGCACATTTTATCCCTATATACTGTTGCACGCGTTGCTCGAGTGCAAAGCGGAGCAGCGTGTCCGCATCGAGGAGGAGTTCCAGACGGTCCTGCAGGCAAATGAAGAGCTCTCCAAGCAAGTGGCAATACCAGCAAAAACTGCCTTCGACCCAACTGCCACAAACCGCAATGCTGGTGGCTACAAGCTCTTCCAGTCGATGAAGTATAGAGCCTCCTCTAAACCGACTAATGATGATCCCCTGGATGGGTCCAGTGCTGAGGATCAGTCCCGCTTGGCCGGCAAACTGTGCGCCGAGCTGCTGGACTTCCTTCAGCGCTGGCTACGCGAATGGCAGCGGCAACACGGCCTGAGCATGGCCGGCAAGCCGCCCCAGGACGTGGACTCCAACTACGGTGCCATCTACGAGTTCGTGCAGCGCATCGACAAGCTGCGCGTGGCACGGGCCAGCTATAACTGTGGAGAGTACGCGCGGGCTCTGCGCTACCTGGAGGCATATATAGATGGCGACAAGACGGCGCGTTTGCTGGAGCAGTTCACGTTTCTCGTCGAGCTCTATGGGCGGCTGATGGACACCGATTCGGTGGAGGGTGCGGTTCAGACGCGCAGCTGTGACATGAGCGTCACCCAGGAGATTCTGGTGAATCGTTTGGTGGAACGCCAACAGGATATGATCACATGCTATGAGCAACTGCTGTCCAGCACGGAGCAGCTGCAGCCGGAGCACATACGCGCCATTATCGATGCCTACTTGCGCATGGACACGCCCAAGACGGCGCTGCTCATTGCCGACGGCCTCTCCCAACGGCTGGCGGATCAGCAAACGGAACACTATTTCAGCGAGTGTAAGGCGGAGCTGCTCTGGCGTCTGGGCAGCTACGATGAACTCGAGGAACTGCAGCTCCAACGGCAGCAGCAGAGCCGCTGCAAGCCCAACTGGCATGCTCAGTGCGCCCAGGCATGCCTCGCCCTAAGGCAGCCGATGACCACCAAAGTGGAGTTCGATTCGCTGCTGGACTCCATGCGCTGCTCGGTGCTGGACCAGCTGCGCAGCTGCTCCGCCCTGCAGCAGCACTCGTATGCACATGCCTATGACGATGTACTGAAGCTGCATATGCTGCACGAGCTGCAGTGCAGCCAGCAGCTGGTCGAGCAGCTGTCGGCACTGCAGCAGGAGGAGACGGAGCAGCAGCAGGCGGAGCTGATGCGCAACTACTTTGCCGATTGGCAGTCTCGATTGCAGATACTGCAGCCGCAGCTGCGCGTGCTGGAGCCCATCTACAGCTTTCGACGCAATCTGCTCGCCGAGCTCAAGCGCCGGCTGAGCGATCGCGCGCCGCTGCAGGCACAACTCCGGACACAGCTGGCGCAGCTCTGGCTGAACAGCGCCCAAATCAATCGTAATGCGGGCCAGCTGCAGCGCGCGCATCTCTATCTGATGAAGGCGGCGGAGTACAAGCCGAGCCGTCTCTTCCTGGAGCGCGCCAAGCTGCTGTGGCAGAAGGGCGATCAGGTGCAGGCCATGAACTTCCTCGAGGAGCAGCTGTCGGCGATTGGCCAGCAATGCGAGGGCAACGTCAAGCAGCTCAGCGGCGAGCAGCGTCAGCTCTACTTTGAGGGAAAGTATCTGCAGGCCACGTACAATGCGGACTCGATGAATCTGTGCGCCGACGCCATACTCAAGTACTTCCAGGAGGCCATCGCTGTGCATCACAAATCGGAGCGCTGCTTCGTGCAGCTGGCCCAGTTTCTGGAGAAGATGCGTGAGGCGCGAGCCACCGGCACGGCCAATACGCCGACGCGCGAGGATGAGGAGCTGCTCCTGCAGATTATGGTCAACTATGCGAAGTCCTTGCGCTATGGCAGCGACCATGTCTACCAATCCATGCCGCGCCTGATCAGCCTCTGGCTGGACACAGCGGCCATAGCGCCGGCCGCAGCCAGCTCGACTCATGCGGAGCTGGTGCGCAAAATGAATGATCTGCTCAACAACTGCTGCACGGCGCTGTCCACGGGCATGTTCTATACGGCGTATTCGCAAATGCTGAGCCGACTGTGCCATCCCTCGGTCGAGGTGTTTGCTGTGCTGCGCACTGTGATCATCATGCTGATCCGGGAGTATCCGCAGCAGTCGCTCTGGATGCTCTTGCCCCACTTCAAGTCCGCCGCGGTGAATCGCGTGAAGCGCTGCAATTCGATACTCACCGATGAGCGTCTGCAGAATGCCGAGTTTCAGCGCTTGCTGAGCGACTTCAATACTCTGACGGATCGTTTGATTTGCGTGACCAACAAGGAGGTCACCCTCGATCGCAGCTACAAGCTGAGCGACCTGGACAAGCGACTGACGCAGCTGTGCGGCCAGGCGAACTTCTCCAACATAATGCTGCCCTTCGAAAAGTATATGCAGCCGACATTCAACATATCCTCGGCGCAGGATAGTACACCCTCGACCAGTCCGGGTTCCAGCAAGCTATCGACGAGCAATTGGTTCCCCTACAAGCATATCTATATAACTGGATTCCAGGAGAAGGTGCTCGTGCTGCGCTCGGCGGCACGGCCCAAAAAGCTGACCATACGCTGCAGCGATGGGCAGGATTATGACATCATGGTTAAGCCCAAAGACGACTTGCGGAAGGATGCACGTCTCATGGAGTTCAATGGACTGATGAAGCGCTATCTGCATCAGGATGCGAGAGCCCGGCAGCGGCGGCTGCACATACGCACCTATGCCGTGCTGCCGTTCAATGAGGAGTGCGGCCTGCTCGAGTGGCTGCCGAATCTGAATTCGTATCGCAGCATTTGCATCGCCTTGTACATGCAGCGTGGTCAGGTGATGAGTGGCCGCCAGCTGCAGCAGCTGGCCTTGCCGCAAACGGAGTCAATAGAGCGCAAGCGTGCCGTGTTCCTTAACCAGCTGCTGCCTGCCCATCCGCCCGTGTTCCAGGAGTGGCTGCTGCAGCGCTTTACCACGCCCCACAGCTGGTATGAGGCACGCAACTCGTATATACGCACCGTGGCCGTCATGTCAATGGTGGGCTACATCCTGGGCCTGGGCGATCGCCATGGTGAGAATATACTCTTCGACGAGCGCAATGGCGACGCGGTGCACGTGGACTTCAATTGCCTATTCAATCAGGGCGAGGCGTTTGCCTACCCCGAGGTGGTTCCCTTCCGCCTCACCCAAAACATGATCACAGCCATGGGTCCCTTGGGCGTGGAGGGCAGCTTCCGCAAGTGCTGTGAGATAACGCTGCGACTGCTTAAGCAGGAGACCAAAACGCTTATGTCCATGCTGCGGCCGTTCGTCTACGATTTGGGTGTCCAGAGCCGTCTGACGGCCTCGACCAGCAACCGGAACAAAAACGGCGCCGAGCTGACTGATCCAAAGGTCACGAACGATGTGCAGCGCATTGCGGAACGTCTGCAGGGACACGTGAGTTGCAATTACAGAAGATTCCAAAATAGGTCAATTACTCAAATTGAATCATTGCTCTTCACAGGTCAAGCGGCAGCAGGCGAACAGCATTCCCTTGTCCACAGAGGGGCAAGTTAACTTCCTGATTAATGAGGCAACTAAAGTGGATAATCTAGCTGCCATGTATATAGGCTGGGGTGCTTTTCTATAGCGCCTTAGGCAGTTTCGATGTGTATATTACACTTTGATTAGTTTTGTACTACATGTAATGTTGAAATTGTTATATTATATGATACACTAAAAAAACCAATCAATAATAAAAACTAAAATTTAATTTATATATTTAACTAAGTTTATGTCAACTTTGTTCTCAAGTTAATATATAAAATAGCATAGGTCTTATCCGATATCAATTTAACGGAAACTGTTAATTGACTGTGGAATTGCGCCAATTAAAATTTGTTTATAGTATTAGTGCATTCTGCCTAGTAACATATTTCAACTAGTAGTGGAGTTATATATGTTTGAGACTTTTGTGGCAATTATATAATTTGATCTTATATTCAGTATAAGTGCTATAAGTCAACCTCATAAATGCGAAATAGGAGAGTGTGCGTTCCGGTAAATTTCCAGTTAAACGAGTCTATTGACATTAAGAGACATCGGACCCAATAAAATGTATCTCGCCCAAATAGAGCAGTAAAAATAGCCAGCAGCGCAAAAAAAGATAAACTTTAATGAAACGTGGCACTATTTATATTTTTGTTTTTAATAGAATTCTCAAATAAATGTTTGCCTCAATCGGCGCATTCAAATGCATAACGACCCTGTGCTTCTGCCATTCCTAGATCAGCTGATGTCACAACTATCGGCTCATCTCTGGAATGTGCCGGCGTAACAGACGATGCATACAAATTACATATTTAAATTGGCGACAACAATAGATGAGCATGTCGAAACCAATTACTTTTGTGACGGGAAATGCAAAAAAATTGGAGGAACTGGTCGCCATACTTGGGCCCAATTTTCCCCGCACGATCATCTCGAAGAAGGTTGATTTGCCGGAGCTACAGGGTGAGATTGATGAGATTGCGGTGAAGAAATGCAAAGAAGCAGCCCGGCAAGTGGATGGACCAGTGCTGATAGAAGATACCAGCCTGTGCTTCAATGCGCTTGAGGGCTTGCCTGGTCCGTACATTAAGTGGTTTCTCGAGAAATTGCGACCCGAGGGCCTGCATCGCATGCTGAGTGGCTGGGAGGACAAATCCGCACGTGCTATTTGCACATTTGCATATTGCGAGAGCTGCGCGGCCGAGCCGCAAATCTTTCAGGGCATCACCGAAGGCGTCATTGTGGAGCCACGTGGCCCGCGCGACTTTGGCTGGTACGCATTGCAGTAAAATTTGTCAAATATGATGTTAATATTCTTTTGCCCACAGGGATCCAGTCTTTCAGCCCAAAGGCTACGACAAAACCTATGCGGAGCTGCCCAAATCGGAGAAGAACACAATTTCCCATCGATTCAGGGCGTTGGATCTGTTGCGAAAGCACTTCGAAAACGAAAAACAATAAAAACTGGGATGACATCTAATTACAATTGCTAAATTAATAAATTAATTTAGTTTTGATCTTTGTTCAATCATGTCGAGAAACTGTTCATTCTTAATGCTACGCTCTTACAACTTAGTCATCCTTCTTGGTCTTGACCTTCTTGACCTTTGGAGCGTCCCGCTTAACAGCTCCACCCACGGGCTTGTTCCAGTAGTATAACAGCTGACTGAATATAACGCCATTGGCAAAGGTCGAGGCGACAAATGTGATGATGATCATTGTGTCACCCGTCTCTTGAATGGATGTGAATATGCGCGCCACGGAGCCGGCGAACATCATGATGACGGTGGCCGCCGACAACTGGCCCGTGGAGCCGGCCCTATAGTTGGTCACTGCCTGAGATAGTTTACCCACCAGCAGGATGGGTATGTTACAACTCTGTATAGCGAACAGAACCTTCATGGGCGTCAGTCCGGAATTGAGAATATACAGCAGTATGGCATAGGCCACTACGAATATGAATGCATGTGGCTTCCGTCCGCCAAAGTAGAGGACTAGCGCTGCAATGGCTACCGTTTGGATGGCGAGGAAAGTGTTGTCGCCCCAGGAGCTGAATGGATAGCCGTTCATGAAGTTGTACGACATGTGGAATGTGATGGCCAGCAGATCCAGCATAACGCCCATCAAATTAATGCCTTCACCAGATTTATTGCTTAGAATCTTCAGCACCTGCGGCACCTTCACCAGCACCGAGCCGGCGATGATGCCGATGCCGAGACCTTTGCTCAATAGCGCCTTAAAGCACGGAACTGTAAAAGGAAATATAATTGATAACTCATCTTTGACAGAGACAAGCGCAGCTCGTAGTACTCACCATCGAGGAAATTGTATTCGAGAAAGTAGTTATCATAGCACTTCTGATTCATGAGAAGCAGTGCGCCCTTTTTGATAACATCGACCATTTTTGGTAATTTATCACTTTGTACGTATGTGCTTGAGTGACAAGTGTGTGTAAAGCAATTATGCCGGCTCTTATCGAGGCGCTGTTATTAGTTGATTGTGCGCAATTGAACAACGGAAATGAAATTGAAAGCCAAGCAGTCCACGTAACGCTAACCACACACAAACGCAAAATTTACCTTTTTCTATTGACTCTTGCAACTAGTATTTTTTCAACAGTACTCTAACAGCGTAACAGCGGTAGAATATTAGCATAACAGCGCGCTGATACTATTAGATTGAATTTGAAATTAACAGCGGTTGGATGGCTCTAAAACTTCAAAACCGTTGGACGAATCAGTACATGGATAGATACGCGAGAAACAATTCGATCTAAACTGCTTTAACTGTAGTTATTTTCGTTTAAATTCTAGATTAACTTATAACTGTTTACTAAGAGCCAAGTTGAGTTTCTAGTACGAATTTAATTTATTTGATTATTTCGTGACACCTATCGATAGATCTGAATCTGTTTAACAGCACTAGTCCCTTGCTGACATAAATAATCGATTGTCTCGCAGCTGAAACAGCTGCTAGCGAATACGAATGCACGTACATATGTATTCTTCAATCTAAATACACGGCTACGCACATAATTAGCATTAAAAATAAACATTGATTATTTCCAAAAATATAATCTGGTTTGCTAAAAGAAAATTTAACGAAGAAAATAATAACCTCCTGGTTGTGATACATATAGTGGCTTTAATATGGGATCCGATGACCTCAGCGCAGGCGACAGAATTCAAAAGGGATTTCAGATCAACTACATGATACTGCGCGATGCGGACACCGGCAAAGTTATCTGGCAGGAGAATAAAGACTTTTCGGCACCGGACGTGGAGCACGAGGCGCGGGTGCCAGTCAAAATTCTGGATATGCGCGCCGTATCGCGTGAGATCAACTTCAGCACGATTGAGTCAATGGAAAACTTTCGGCTCGACCAGAAGGTGCTCTTCAAGGGTCGCATCATGGAGGAGTGGTTCTTCGAGATGGGTTTCGTGGGCGCCAACACCACCAACACATGGCAGAGCACCATTGAGGCAGCCCCCGAGTCCCAAATGATGCCCGCTAAAGTCTTAAATGGCAATGTGACAATTCAAACCAGTTTCTATGACAACGAAACACTCATCACAAAATCGGTTGTGCGCTTATATTACATATAAATATGTGTATTGTGTGTGGGCGATACACCAACGCACACTCACATAAACACACACACACACACACACACACACACATAAACACACACACACACACACACACACACATACACTACACTCAGAAAATACCCCACTGTCAGGTGTTCCTCATACAAGCATACATATATTGATCTGCTGCTGCTTCTGCCGGTTTGTTCATTCTTCTGCATTTGACTCAATAACATAAAAAAAAAGAAAAAACTGATATAATGTTAAATTGTTTCTCAAATATACTTTTATAGCTTGCCCTCGCTGCGGAACAAGAAGCAGGCACAATCTTAACGCATTTCAATGCAATTGTTCTTGTGCGTTTTTTAGGCTAGTGAATGCCATCTTACAGACATCTAGACTAATGCATTTTAATATTTTATTATTTATTATTTAACATTATTGTTTAACATATTAATAAAGTATTAACGAATGTAATACAAATATACGTAGATTAAATTGAAAAAATGTTTAATCAACTCATTCATAATTATGAATTCTTTGGAACTGTCAGTTCCGTTATAGAAAAACGGCGAAATACCGTGCGTTGACAGCCAATCAAAGTTCATATATAATTGAATAGCTACTTAGTCAGCGTTAAATATATTTGCATACACTTTGACCATATTTGCCTAAAATGGGTCAAGAATTAGTTGGGGCTCAGCTTTTTACTTTCAAAATCAAGCATAATCTGTAGAAGAGACTCGGAGACTCTTGGCGTGCGCCCCTTGGGGAAAACGGGTTTCGGCTTTGGCAATCAACTTGATAAATATTCATAATCTGCATTTGCGAATATCGAATTGGATTATGAATCTTTGTGACAGGCAAGGGGAACTCAAGTTGAGTTCAATCGAACTGTTAACAGCGACTTGACCCCATTTCGCTCGAACTCTCATCTAAAATAGAACCGCCGCCAGGTGCCCGGTTAAGAGATACTTAATTATGACGGCGCCGCCTCGAGACCCGTTGCGAAAGTCTTCGTTTTGAGTAGCCAACCAATCTGGTCAACAGTTGCCTTTGAACACGTAACGGCAACGGGTCAAATCATGGCAAATCTACGGAAGATTGTCTTGCTGCTTCTGGTGGCGCTTCTTGCTCTGGCTGCCATCAGCGGTGCCTCGGCTCAGAATAAGAATAAGAAACAGCAGCAACAGCAACAGCGGCCCAAGCCGGCAAATCCCAACAGGCGCCCCAAGCCGCACCTGGCGCAAAGACCAGTAAATCAAAGACCAAACAAAAAGCAGCCGAACAAGCCCAGTTCCAAGGTGTTTACCACAACGGTGCCGGATCTGGGCAAGATTCGTGGCCGCACTTTGCTCACGGAATGGACTGGCCAGAAGGTGATGCAGTTCCTAGACATCCCATACGGCAAGGCGGAACGCTTTAAGGTAAGATTTATATTCGATTTTCGACTTAACATTTGAAATTCGTATTTGGGCAATTTGGGTCAGTATATGTATACATATGTATGTTTATTTTAAGAAGGGAGAATTTTAATTCGATTTAATTATCTCAATTTAGGTCAATGTACAAATCTTATATATGTATATCCCTCACAAGAAAGAAAACTTATTTAAAGACCATAGAAAATATTTAAAGCCTAAACAAAAAATTGGAGAGTGTGAAAAAAACAGAGGAATATAATAATAATATAGAGGAGGAATATAAAAAATCTATAATCAACTAGTATATTATTTTTGTACACATATTGAAAAATAGCGTAGTCCTTAAATCATCAGAATGTTCATAAAAATATTCTTTAAAAGTAACGGATAGCAATTTCCAATATCTGGAGTCAAACATTTATCTAATTTTTCACTGAAATTTTTAAGAGTTTTTAGCTTGTCTATAGATATATGTACATATATGTAGATGATGTTATCATACAAAATTATACATTAAATTTTCCATTCGCCCCAAAAGCCAGCGGAAATGGCGGCACCTTGGAAGGGCATTCTGCAAGCACATCGTAATCATGCCGGCTGCCCCTCTATCCAGGATTTGGTGAAGTTCGCCAAAATGGAGGAGAACGGCGTTGATGTGGAGGACTGTCTGCGCCTGACAGTCAATACCAAATCGGTGGGTTTACCTTGAGTTCATCCACTTGAATGTCATATATATAATGAAGCTGTCTTTAGCTAACGGGTAAACTAGCTCCAGTCATGGTCTATGTTCACGGTGACTTCTTCTATGACGGCGACACTGTGGAGGCGGCACCTGGCTATCTGTTGGAGCAGGATGTGGTTTTAGTGTCGGTGCGCTATCGTCTGGGTCCCTTCGGCTTCCTCTCCACGCTGAGCGACGAAATGCCCGGCAATGCGGCGGTGACTGATCTGATCTTGGCACTGAAGTGGATCAATGAGCACATTGCGGACTTTGGCGGCGATCCGGAGCGAGTGACTCTGTTCGGCCAGGTGGGCGGAGCGGCGCTCATTAATGTGCTCACCTTGAGTCCGGCTGTGCCAAAGGACCTCTTCCATCGCGTCATCTATATGTCCGGCACAGCGCTATCGCCGGCCTTCATCACGGACTCCCCGCTGGCGACGACCAAGGAAATCGGACGCATAGCCGGCTGCAAGCAGCTAGCCAAGATGGACTCCCTGCACAAGTGCTTCAATCGCATGAATGCCACCATGCTGCTGGCTGCCTTCAGTGTGTATGGCGAACAGAAGCCCCTAGTCGCCGCCGGCGCCTACGGTGGTGTCCAGCTGGTCATTGGCGGACCGTCGGGCATTCTGCCACAGCATCCGGGTCGACTGCTTGCCGCCGAGAAGTTCACGGCCTATCCCACTTTGGGTGGCAGTGTCAAGCATGGCGGCACTTTCCTGATGAGGGGTAAGTACTTCCGTGAGGATTAAGGAGTCCCTGTAAAAAAAAAACAACAAAGTTTAACCCTACCTCTCCATAGATCTATTCGTGGACAGCTTCAATGAGACCACTTCCGATGCCAAGATGACCGGCGAGAAGTACATTGAGACAATCATTCAGCAGATTAATGGCGCCGATCCCACGAGCTCTTGGCGGGAGTTTGCCGAGGAGTATATTTTCAGTGCAGAGGAGATCCGGAATGGCAGCTTCAAGCGCCTTACGCCGGGTCTCATTGATGTGAGCTGCCATTCTATTCAATTATCTCAAGTGGAACTCATCAATTTACTTCTTCTCTTATCAGCTGTGCAGCACGATTGCGCTGAAGAATCCCGTGCTGCTGGTGCTCCAGGCCAACGCAAAGAAGATGCCCAACAGCACCTACCTCTATACCTTTGACTATGAGGGCGAATTGAATCGCTACGCCACAGGCGAGGATGAGGCCATCGACGTGCCCTTCGACATGGGCGTCAGCTTGACCGATGAGAATCTCTATCTGTTCCCTTGGCCGCGCATCAATGTGATTAACGCCAACAGCGATGTCAAGATTGCCAAGCGCATGGTTGCCCTCTGGACCTCGTTTGCGGCCAACGGCGTGCCCGAGGCGGCGGGTGTTCCGGCCTGGCCAGCCATGAATGACGAAACTGGTCCATATATGCATATCGGACGTACAGTTAGCTTCGGGGACAATTACCTGGACGAGTACAGCATTGGGGTGCAGGAGGTGAAGCAGGGCTACAATCTCGTCAATGAGGATTACTACGAACTGGAGGCAGTGCTGCGTGATGTTCTCAACAAGGAAGAAGAAGCAGACGCAGCCGAAGAGACAAACGAAGAAGAGGACGCGGAGCAGGAGGAAAGCAACGAGGAAACCGAAGCCAATGAGGCGCGTGGCCAGAACCTGGTTTTCATAGCTAGAAAATCGGCTCGCATACACAATTAATTTGCACGAATCCGATAGAAATATGTAAATAAGTTAATTTATTCACAAAATCTAATAAATTGAATAGCTTATTGCTCCGAATATTAATTTCAGAGATGCTTTAATTATCAATAAAGCTTTCTTTCATTATGACTAATCTGAATTTATGCTGAAAATATTCCTTTGTTTTTTCAGTGTTTGGCCGTTAACTAAAACACTTCAATAACTCTGCCGAAGACTTTAATTTTGATACCCTAAACTCATTGAAAATGGAAGATGAAGTGGGGTTGCTTAAATGTAAAAATGCAGAAGGAAGTAAACTATATATGTATGTGTGATTAATTTAATGACCTTGTCGAGGAGAAGGATTACCGATCGCTGTCAATAGACGCACAATTTTTGTGGGAATTTATTTTAAATTTTAAGATTTTTTTTTTTAGTGAAGTAACAATATTCTGTGTTACCTTCTTTTCTGTTCTGTATATCTCATATTCCAATTAATCTAACTCCACTTCCAATCTTGCTGGCATGATTGCGCGGTTACCTTCCTTACAAAAGCTCTAAGCTCTAAAGATCTTGCCAAGTTCCTTCCTTGCAAATTGACATACTTAATATACTCCCATCCATTGGCGAGTTGCGAATATGTATCTACTATATACATATATGAACACATATATTTGATGTGTACTACAATCAAGTTAATTATTGTTGAATTATAGGACAGCTAGCGCGACTTCTTTAATTTAAATTAAATTCAATTAAATTATAAATTAAATACGGATTCTCATTAGAAATACTGTTAAGCTAATTGGTCTAGTTGCCTGAGCCCTAGAACCGTATTTTGTTGCGATTGGGACGCTTGACAAGACTCTTTCGCACCTCCAGCTTTTTGAGTTGGCTCGCCGCTTGCTTCTTGCGCTGCGCCTGGCCGAGGACCTTGCGGCGTGCTCGATTGCGTAAATAGTATATCTCGCGTATGAGACTGTGGCCCTGCTCCTCGTCCTTCAGCGTGGCAGAGAACTCAGTGAAGTAGTTGCCGCCGATGGTCAAGGTCTCGTCGATCTTCATATAGGGCCCATAGAGCGTGGTCATGGGCGGCCAATAGCCGGACCGATAGGAGCCCAGGGGATTGCCGGTTATTATAAAGTTTGTCCAGAGCTCGACCATGCGATGGGCCATTGTCATATCGGGTGGGCTCAGGCGCTTCACATGATCGGGATAGGGGAACAGATAGAGCGCCTCGTCGGTGAGTGAGACGCCAGCTTTGAAGGGGCTCTGCATGTTCGTCTCCTCGTCCATGTCGCGATATCGATTGAACTCGCCCGCATAATCGAACGAATAGAGAAACGTGTTCTCCGGATTGTGTTTGTTGTTCATGTTCATAGCCAGCAGCACGGGCAGCTTATGGTTTAAGGTGCCCGCCACCTGGAAGATATATCCATTTAGAATAGACCAATTATTGTATTAAAAGACGCCTACTCACATCAATTAGCCGTGGAATCAGAGTGTCGAAGGTTCCGTTCTCAAGCAGCTGGCGGTTGAAAAAGTCGTGGGTGACAAAGCTGGTCAGCAGCATGGTCTTGTCGGTGCCCACCACCTGGCGGATGACGTGATCGATATAGTCGTACGTATTGTATTCGTCATCGGGTATCTTGCCCTCAAAGTCGTTCTCCACGATCTCATTGAGCACACGTGTGCCCGCATTCTTGGGACAGCCCCCCATGGCGGGGTAGGAGAAGTTCGACTCCAGCATGAGATCATATGGATGCTTGGGCAGCACCCCGCTGGGACCGCCAATTGTGAACTGTATGCCGCCCGTATGACCAATGCCCAGATCAGATTTCTCGAGCTGCCAATAAATGAATATGTAGAGCAGAAGACATGAATAAGAACGATTTCACCTACCGCATGCTCCATGAAGGCATTCAATAGCTCCAAGGCGCTCAGCTCCATGAGGCATTTGTTGAGGTCGCGCACAGTTACCATCTGGCAGTCGGCCTTCTGGGCGATCTCCTGGGCGTGCTTGCGCGGATTGTCCTCCAGGAAAATGGGCATGATGGCCGAGCCCGAGTGATAGATCACCTGACTGAACAGGCCGCGCTGCACCATCGGCGACAGGGTGAGCAGGTGGGCTATGGCCGCACCACCCACCTGACCGGCCACCGTGATGCGGCTCGGATCACCGCCAAAATACTTAATGAAGTGCTTCACGAATTGCAGGGCCAAGAAGATGTCGAGCACGCCGGCATTGCCGGGTATCTCGTCGGTCTTGGTCGAGAGGAAGCCGAACGGGCCCAGTCTATACTGTGGCGTCACCAGCACTATATCCTTTTCCAGCAGATAGTGGGGTGGCGCCTCCGAGTTGCTGCCCTCGTAGAGGTACTCGCCGTGGATGTAGACCAGCACCGGCAGGTTGGCCGTCACGTTCGGCGTGGTTATGGTCATGGTCAGGCAGTCCTCCACGTCCAGCACATCGTCCAGCTTTTGCAGGGCGTCCATCGAAACGACAGACGGACAGCCAATTTTCTCAGCTGTCGCATCCATAACATCTTCCCAGGGCTCAATGGGACGTGGCGGCTGGAAGAAGCGCAACAATTAGACTCCGATGATTGATGGGATTACTACACGACCAATAAACGTTGCCCTAATTAGTGTACGGAATTTATTGTCGACCAATCAAGCGAAAATTCCTATCTTAACGATTCTTGCCCCTTTTAGGTGTTACCAGCAGCTCTTAGCCCTGATTAGGTCTGGGCTTCAATACATATTAATGAGCTGGGTGAATGTTTTCGTTTGGTCTATCTCTGCTTATAAATGGCTTAAAGCTTCGGGTGAAATGTTCGTCGAGCGGATGGAGCTGAGACAACGAAATATGTAGTACCGAACGTCTTGCATTATTTATGATCACTAGAGAAACTTGATATAAATCAGCTGACTCGTAGATGCTTTAAAGCATTTAGCAATGAAACTTGTGTAGGAATCACTTTATGGCAAACGATCTATAAAATATTTCTAAATAGAAATTAATTTAAATCATACAAAATATAATATTATAATAAGACAGATGTACTGCTCGACTACGAGATACTCTCTTCGCTACTCTAGCTCTTAAATGTACGTATCTTTTGAGATCGACGCGTTCATATAAACGGGTAAGCCGACAGACAGACGGACAGTTATAAATCGACCCAGTTCGTCGCCTGGATCAAGAGTATATATACTTAGTCGGGTCGGCTACGCCTCCTTCTGCCCGTTATATACATTTAACAACACCATGATACCTCGATTTCTCATTTTCAATGCAAATATTCTATTCTAAATTACTCGCTTAGCTCCTTTCATCTCTCTTCCTCTCTTTTCATCTCTTTCATTTGGCCTACCTTGAAGCGATGCTGTCCCGTCGGCGGTTCAGCATATCGGACATCCACGAACTGCAACACCTCACGCTTGCTCCACGCCGTCTCCACAATTTTGCCCTGAATGGCGCCCAGCTTGGGCAGCTCCAGAATAGTATCCTTCTCCTCATCGTACAGCCGGCCGCGCACTCGTGCCTCTGCCTCGAGAACTGCGCCGACTGCGATCAGCGCGCACAGAACCAAAAACTGCATCTTGGATATTGTGAAGCTGGCCAAGATGCGACAGCGCTCGCCTAAGTACGAAACTCAACTGATCTTGGACAGCAGTGGGCGATTAGATTTTAGTCCGATCGCTTTGCCTGATCACAGTAAAAGTTTCACTCCGGTGCGCGAATACTATTAAGAAGGAGAATGCGAAAAGCAGAATGCGAAATAGAAAACGAAAGATTAAAATAAATCAAAAACAAAAAAAAAAAAAGTAAAATAAGAATTAATAAATAAAAAATAGAAATGAAGCAATGCCCATCTACGTTGCGCTGTTTTGCATTTCAGCTACCAACTAATTCGTTGCTGACTTTGTTTGCTCTGGTTTCTTGCAGCGGCGTTGATTGAATCCAAACAAAAGTAAAAGGGAAATTTGACAGCAATTTGCTAATGGTCTTTGGGTTCTCTCCGAAGTTCACTTCTAATTAAAAACTGAACTAATCTGTTAAGCCGCAGATCGATTAAATTTTCCCCCCATCTTGGCAGATCGATCTCGAGGCCCTGCGGCCCAATATAATTGCGGCGAACAGACAATCAATACCAGCTGGCCAAGAGCTAAAAGCAAACAGCAGACAGAGTCGGGGATCGCCATTAGGGCATTGGCAGTTTGTTTGTTTTACGCACAATGAAAGTCGGCGCCTCGCATCGGATTGATTAGGTTCAATTATACTTTCAGAGCTGCGGGCCAGAGGTAATTCCCATTTAAATTTCAGATATTTTAATTTGAAAATTTTGCTGAGTTCGATGAGTTTGATGCTACTGGTTTTCATTTTAAACTTATTCATTCGTTGCGGTGGGTGAAAGTATTTACTTTGCTTTCTGCCTTTGCAAATAGAAATGATCTGGCCTGGACGCTCTCATTAAACGGCTCAGACTCGGGTTCAATGACATTTGTAATAATATATATGTATATACATATACCCATCTGGCAGAGAGTTTATCTGAACCAACGTTGTTATAACATATAAAATAATTTGCATAAATTAATTAATTATAGGCGAAGGTTATAGCTTAATAACCAAAGCCATCATTTTAGCGTACGTCACGGTTGATTATGCAGGAGCTAAGCCCTATAGAATATTATCGAATACAAGAGATAGGAAAAATACAAAATTTAAATTCTCTAAGGGAAATCATAGATTATATATATGTACATCCACTTAAATAATAAATTATGCTTAAATTTTCCTTTTAGAGCTGAAATCAGACTTACTTACTTCGAGCAGTTTAAAATTATTCTATCAAGGCGGACTTGAAATTTAATATTAAGACATTGTAATATTTTTTCTTTCTTTTATACTTTCAGTTAACAAAGCGTCCAATAACATCATTATTATGCATGGCATGTTAATAAGCGAAGATAAGACGCGTGAAACATAAATGTTCCTGTATAATATGAAATATTGTTCCTGAAGTCCTTAATATAAGAGAAAGGATTATATGAGAGAAAAGATTATAATCATTTAAAAAGGTTTCTATACTGGGAAATAATGCTCAAAAGGCAACGGTTAAAAAATGCACTATGCCAAATATTGTTGCATAACTTTAGGGTCTGTCGCTGTGGCCGTAAGGGTCAAAATTTGATAACCTCTAGTCAAAAGTACCAAACGAACAGAAACGAGTAGAAGAGTGAAAAATTTTAACCAATAATCAGTTGACATAGCTGTTAGTTAGCTGTTATCTAACTTAACTATGTTAAACCTACTTGACATTTCTATTCGCCTGGTAATTCATAACGTTTCTCGTCCGCGATGCTGCAGCTCAACAATAAATTACCCAAGTTTACCAATTAAGGAAACATCAATTAAATTTATTTATTGAAACGAAATATGCTTTACATAATTGAAAATATCTGTTGATTATACACGCTAACAAATCGAAATGAAATAAGGGCAGTGTTTACTTTCTATGTTTATATTTAGATGCTAGGTCGCCGATATCTGCGCATGAGCTTAATTCGTCGTGGTGTGTTATCGGAGTACAGAGGATCTTCGTCAGGCTGGGCATAAAGATCGTTGAATGGCGCGTCGTCAGGCGAACCCTCTTGCTCAGCACTTGCAAAGTTCTCTGGGTTGTCGCGATTGTTGAGTTCTTCTACCCAGCTCGTGTAGGCTTTGACATAATCCTCGTAGGTCGGATAGGCGCTTGGGTCTGGCGGATTTTCATCATCCGCAGGGAATGCCTGTTCGCCTCGCCCTTGCTGCGCTCGCTCCTGTTGTTCTCGCTCCAGCTGTTCTCGCTCCAGTTGCTCGCGTTGCTGCTGCTCACGTTCATGTTGCTCTCGGGATTCCTGATCGCGTTCCTCCTGCGCCCGCTCCTGCTCCTCGCGCTCCTGCTGCAGACGTTGCTCTTCCGAGTCCGCCAGCTGTGGCTGTTGCTCGCGTTCCTGCTCTCGCTCTTGCTGTTGCCTTAGTTCATATTCACTCTGCTGCAGCTCTGGTTCATCCTCATTGTCTTCGTCCACATCTTGCCTAGCCGCATTCTCGCGCTCCAGCTCCTCACGTTGTCGCTGTTCTCGCTCAAATTGTTCCCGCAGCAGTTTTTCTCGCTGCAGCTCTGCTTGGCGTTGCAGCTCTTCGCGTTGACGTTCCTCCTCCTCGCGCAGGAGCGCCTCCTGCTGTTGCTGTTCTCGTTCCTGTTGCTCGCGTAGCTTCAGCTCCCGCTCCTCCTGCTCCCGCAGCAACTGTTGCCTGCGCACCTCCTGTTGCCTGGCGTAGTAATCGTTGAAGGCTGGTGGTCTGTACTCGGGCACCTGGGGTGGTCTATACTCGGGCTGCTGAGGTGGTCTATACTCGGGAAGTGGAGGTGGTCTGTACTCGGGCTGCTGAGGTGGTCTATACTCGGGCAGTGGAGGTGGTCTGTACTCGGGCAGTGGAGGTGGTCTGTACTCGGGCTGCTGAGGCGGTCTGTAAGGTTGCTGGGGGTAATACGGACGCCTGGTTGTTGTTGTGGTTGTTGTGGTGGTGCTGGTGCTGGTGCTGGTGGTGTTGAAGTACTGAGCATATATGTTAGGCACATTGATGCTCTCGCCAAAGTGCTGGTCCAGCTCCAAAATGCTTTGCCGCGAATTGGTGAAGCGCAAGAATGGGCCATACTCCGATGACGCCTTGGGCCATACGTTAGGGTTCGGATTCGGAATGCCAGTCTGTGCAAAGCTCACCCACATGGCAACTAGGGCGCGGGCTAGCGACTTATCCTCGGGATTCAAATTGCTAGCATCCTTCGGATAGGGGAACAGATAGACGGAGTCGTCACTCAGCGAGGCATCCACGCCGAAGGGCAGCGGATTGCCAAAGTGGGCAAAGCGATGATACTCGCCGCGATAGTCGAAGGTGTACAGATAGGTGGGATTCTTCTTATAGGACGAACGAATCGAGTAGACAACGGGCGCCCGATACAATATGAGATTGCTCAGCTCCACCAAGCCCTGCGACACGCTGCGGGCGGTGACGTAACGCAACTGCTCTGGCGTAAAGATCTCGCGAACAGCCAAGTCATGCCATATCTTATGCTGCTGGGGCGGGGCCGTGTGTCGCAGCACCACGTTGATGTAATCGCTGATATTTTGCGACTGCAAGCGCTGAATTTGGTCGTAGAAGCCTGTTGAAGAAAAGGAAAGGAAATTATTGAATAAATTTAAAGAGAGTAGAAAGGACTTCTATAAAGGACTTGCACTCGGAGCTTAGGCAAAGAGCCTTTAGTCTGATCTGATCCACTTACGGGACACTATAAAAGCGCTGGCATCCTTGGTGGCACCGATAATAGCGGGCTTTAGCGTATTGTTGGCACTGTTGCTGGCGACAAGAGCCGCCGGATGCTCAGGTAGGTAGCCCAGGGCGTCGCCCACCACCAGCTTGAAGCCGCCCAAGAAGCTGAGGCCGCGCGGCTCGTTCTGTTGCAGCAACTGCTGAAAGATGCTGGCCAGCTGGGATGTGCGCAGGCGTCTCAGGCATTCGTAGAGCGGGCTGAGGTTGCGGCCAGCGCTGGGGCAGCGAGCGAGCTGAGCGAAGGTGGCCAGCGTGTCCAGTGGCCTTTCGTCGATCAGATAGGGATTCAGGGCAGTGCCCGACTGCAGAATGAGCTGTTGGAACAAGTGCTGCGTCTTGGGGCTCAGGCTGAGTGCGTGGGCCAGCGTGGCGCCGCCGGCCTGTCCAACGACCGTAATTTGGCCGCTGGCGCCGCCGAAGTAACGAATGTTGCGCTGCACCCATTCGAGGGCCTGATGCAGATCCGACAAAGCCACATTGCCGGGCAGCTCATCGGTGAGGGCGGCCAGAAAGCCGAAGGGCGCCAGTCGGTAGTTGACGGAGACCAGGATCACGTCGTGCTCGAGCAAGTAGTCGGGCTGCGCCTCCTCCGCGCCGCCGTCGAACAGCATCTCGCCGTGCACAAAGACCAGGACGGGCAGCTCGCGTCCGCCGGCGGGCGCATAGATATCCAGAGTAAGGCAATCGTCGACGTTCTCGCCGCGCGATTCGGCCGCCTGCAGGCGCTGCACTTCCGGGAACTGGGCACAGTTGGGGCTCGATTGGGTTGCATTGATGATCGGCTGGTAGGGCGCCGCTGTGGCGGCCTGGAAACGTCCGAGGCCGCTGTTCACCAGGGCGTAGCGTATGCCCAAGAACGCATCGATGGGTCGGTTCTTAATGAACTTATAGCCTTGCTGACCAATCACCTGACCCACGCCGGGCACAAGCACTCCGCCACTTGGCGGCGGTGGCGGCGGCGGTGGTGTAACCGGCTTCAGCTGCCAAGGTGCCGCCCGCAAAGGCTGCGGCGTGTACACACCCTGGAGCCAAGCTTCACTCTCGTCATGCACCTCATCGAACTGGGCGTGGCAAGCGCCCGATAGCAGCAGCAGCAGTAGCTGCCAGAGCAGTCGACTCCTCCCAGTAGGCAGCTCCATGTTCTGAACTCCCTGGTGACCAAGTTGATACTGATTTTCAATATAATGGCAGACAGTCGGAAATCAAAAGTTCAAACCTAATCGCAACTTACTCGACTCATCAATACAAACAAACACACACACACACACACACATAATGAATGGGGAGATACAAATAGAGGCATAGTTCTAAGTAGTTTTAGTTCTCGTTCTTGATGTCGCCAGCCTTAATCTCGTCTTGATGACAGTTTATTGTGTAGTTGCTGTTGTTGTTATTGTTGTTGCTACAGTGCGCCAGATTCGCCGCAGTCGATTATCTGGAAATGCCAGAGACTATAGAGTCTACAGTTGATCCGGGGTTATCGCAACTCAACTAAATGATTCTCTATTCCTTGTATTCATCTTGCACAATTTACTAATAATAATTTACTAAGAAATTTGTATTCAATCCATGATACCTCAAAGTATGCTGCAGATGCCCCTGGCCGGCATTTTTATTAATTATTTTTTAATAATGATTTCTAAACATACTCAAAAGACTTTGAATGAAACGAAGCTATAAATCAAGTTCCAAGGCTCATTACTGTTTACAAAGCTAATCTCAAGGCAGATTTCTGATAGCTTGGTAGTCCCAGAAAATTGACATTGGGCATATATGTATAAACTATATACATATATGTTCCATATATATATAGTTCTGTTTTGATTCGAATAAAATGCCAAGAAGAGCATATACATATTCCTGTATTGTGTATACCTATGATGATCTATTAGTTAAGATCAATTTCACATAAATATGTGTAACCATAGGATTTATTTATCTTCAAATTGATGTTTATTTAGTTTTCATACTTACTTCCGGAACCTAAACAAATAATAAATATATAAATCGTAATTGGTTTCATAATATAATATTCTCTATATTTTCATTTAATAATCGTTTTCGGTTCATTTTTCATTTTTTGTTGTTGTTGTTGTTTCAGTATGTTTCTATAATAATATGTTATAATTAAGAATCGTCATTTCATCTAAATATTTCAGTTATAATAGTACAATATAATAATTTTTTAATAATATTGTGTTAAATTTGTTTTGTGTTTCGCTTTTGAATTTAACACTTGAATGCGCTGCTCTTCTGCTTCTGCTTCTTCTTTATTATTTATTTCTTGCTTTATATTTAGATGCTGTTAATTGTAAATGTTTCATTCACGCGCTTAATCGTTCCTCTGCCAAGTCAAATATTCGTTCTGATTCCCTTCCTCATTTTCAATTTGTTCTTTCGCTTTTTCATTTTATGCTGATTCGATGATTTAATCAAATCATTTTTTATTTTTTACTTTGACATTGTTACTTTTTGGGTCAGATTGCATTTGGTTTTGCGATTAAGCTTGAACAATCGCTCTCTCGACAACTATGTATGGATGTACTAATGTAGGTAATCGCACTTATGTACGAGTATGTATTACTTTCTTTTTTTTTAAATCAGAGGACTAGGAAAGCTAAAAGCATTTGTATGTAGTATGTATGTATATATTTGTTCATCTATATGTATATATGTATATATATGTGTGTATATATATACATATACATATATGTTTGTATTTAGGTATTTGCTTTATATAGATCTTGTATATGCCCTAAGTGCGCGCAGACGGTAGATCGAAAGTAATATAATAATAATAATATCGATAAGAATCTGAAAATGATATATGTAAAATATTTGTAAACTTCAACTGCATTACGTATATTGGGGTACAAAGTTTTCATGTTCTGATCGTCGTCAATGATCTCTAAGCCTTAAATGCGTTTTCTTTTCTGACGAAACTTGTGCGTAATTCGACATACATTTACATATATGTTATAAATACACATAATTATTCAAATAAATTGTCAATAAAGAAATGCAGAAGTCCCTTTATTTTGTAATTCATTAGATCTATAAAACTTGATAAATATTGATTTCACTTAAATGCAATACGTTTAGGAACTTCTTAACAAATAATTGCATTTTAACAAATCTTACAATAGAGATAGATACATATATGTCCTTCAAAATTAAAACAAATTAAATAAATAAATAAACAAGAATTGGGAAAATTTTCTGTTTTTCAACCGTTTGCTTCTCTCAAATTTACCTCGTGTTAATAATTGATTTTTTTTTTTTTTTTTTTAATTATTGATAAGATTTTTTTTATTTTTTATTTGTAGCTCAGTCTTTTACTAACATTTGTTTTTTCTTTTTTTCTTTAAATATGTTATGTAATAATTATAAGAAATTGTTTTGAAAAGTATTTTTTATGCTTATGTCTTTTGAAGCGTTTGGTTGAACTAAGTAAGTGCTGCTCAATATTTCTGGCGGGCTCAAAAGCAAAACAAAAAAAAAAACCTTTCAGGGTTAACCAAACTAAAAACAAGAAGATTGAAAATCCAAATATCGTCGTTGACATACCTACTATGCGTTATATATCTGTATGATAGGTATGCGGCAGAGAGGGTATCGAGAAAGTAAGTGTGTGTTTGTGTAGCTCTATAGTTGCTTGGAAGTACCGTTCTGTGAGTTCTGTTCAAACTACGTATCATAACTTATTTGATTAAATATTTATTTGGTTTTAGGTATATGCTATATATACTCGTATTGTTATTATGGCTTACTCATTCGCTTTTATTATTATTATGTTTTTCTTCTTTATTTTGTTTTGCGCTACATTTTCAACAATTTAAATTTAAATTCAAATTCAATTTCAAATTGAAATGTATTTTACATATTTGTAAACGCCAAAGAACGCATAACATACTTTTAACTATTTCTGCAGTGTGTGTGAGTGTGTGTGTGTGTGTGTGACGGGGTGAGTATGTTTTGGCCAATATATACATATACATACACATACATATGTATATGTATTTATGTTTATAGAGAAAATCGATTTTGTGTTGTGTTTTTCTTTTCTTCGAATGAAAGATTATTTATTTGATCATTTTCAATGTATTATGTTTCAATTATTTACAGAGTCTCATATATGTATATATATTTACATATATAAATATGCGTGTTTTTGAGTGTATATTGTGTTTATATATAGTTCAGATTTATTGCGTTATAAAATCTTAACATAATTATATAAATTGATTTCTCGCAAGTGTTTTGAGTAAAATGCAACGATTACGCTGCAAGTTAATAGCGGGCTACTTACAAATTAAAAAACCAAACGCTTCGTGTCGCAGCTAAATGCAAGACACGCGAACCGAACACCGAACACTGAACCGGAACGGAACCGGAACCGGAACCACAGTTCGGCATAGACTAATTTTAAAACGATTTAGGCATTTGAATCTACATTAGTTCGCTTTCATGCTCATAAATAATATAAGGTAAATGTAATGCTTAAATCTAATTAGTTGTTAATTCTCTCTTGATTTTTAAATGTCTTTTGTTTTGTTAATAATGCCTGTTAATAATATACTATACTGTTAAATGTATATGCATATATATATACATTTATATATATAAATGTGTTATTTTATGTAAGAAGCACTTGAATATATATCGTTTTTAATGTTAAATGAAAACTTGAGTGTGTATGTTTTGTGGTTTGTTAATAATAATGTTAATCTCTATCATTTTTCCTTTTGTTTTCTCTCGCTAAGTTGCTATACGTAGTATTTCTTGCTGTTGTTTCATACATAACATACATGGCAAATATCAATTTTTATCTTATCTGGAGAAAGTTAAAAATCTTTGCTTAACATTAACGTATGCCTCATTATCATAATCGTAATCATTATCATTATCATTATCATTGTTATTAAATATCATAATTAGCATTTGCTGCATACCTAAAAAGTTGCTTGAGTTACGTTCTGCTATCCATGTTGCATGTTTATCTAATAACTGTTATACGATCTTTATACGATTAGTACTTCATGGCATTTGTCTCACAAGTTTTGCATTTTCTGAAATTCTTCACAAATTAATTAGTGTCGCTAGTAAAATATTTTTTATTCATTTTTTTGTTTTTGTTTCGTTTTGTTTAAAAGCATTTGGAGACAATTTGTCTTCTAAAGTATTTTTGTAATTTTAATTTATGCATGTACTTATAGGTAAATTTTATGCATCATCTATGTGTGTCTGTGTAGAATCAATAATTTTGACTGCTCTCGCTGTTCTGCAGGCATACTCTGTAAAACCTTTTTAATTGTAGCTTGAATCTTAATTACAATACTCGTCATACTCTATAAGCCAGTATATAACTATTTGTAAGTGGTATGTAAATGTAAAGTGTATAAAAGTTAATGATCTGATTTAATTTTTCAGTATATATATAGATGTATATATACTTGAATGTAGTATTTACTCGTATGCAATGCCATATAAATGTAGTTCTAGATTTTTAGTTGAGTTCTCTATTAGCATGTTGTGTATTCTACGTTTCCTTCAATTCTATGATCTGCTATTATATGATTTCTGTTGTTCTTGTTGTTGTTTAGTTGTTTGTGTCTGTTGTTATTTAATAAATAATTTTTACTTATTTCGTATTTTACGTGTTTTGTATTGCTTTTGATGTAGTCGACACTTGATATCAAACAAACTGCAAACAAAAATAAGAAAAAGAAAACCGAAAATATTTAATCTCATAAAATTATTTATTGTAACCAAATATATCAAATTTATATTAATAAATTGTTGTATATACATAAAAAATGAAGCTTAAACAAATAATAAATGCACTCTAATAATATTATATATTTATTTTTTATAACTTAAAAATTTGTCTTTGGCTCTAGAAATGTGTAAATTGCGCCAAATAAATAAATGTTTTATTCTCATTTAGAATTACATACTTTCTATTCTGTTTACTCTAATTTAACTTGTATATCGTATATATTTATGTGGTTTTGTTTTTCCATTCTTTATACATTCGCTTTGATTTAGATATTACTACGCTTTATTTCCGTTCATCATATATGCAATACAGAACGTTATGTTAATATTTACTTTTAGGTTTGTTTTTATTTTTGCTTTTTTTTTTTTCTTTTTGTGTTGTCTTGAAGGTTTTTTTTTTTAAGCTTTATACAAAATATCTTTTCTTATTCGTTTGGCTTATACTAAGAAAGAGAAACGTGTTTCACTTAGCAATTCAGCCAACGACCTACTCTTGAAGATTTGCAAAAATTTCGATTTCATATTCTAGTATAGTTGTAAAGTCTCTATAGCTAATGTTACGTTATGCTTTTCAATATCTTTTGATCGATCACTTTATTAAAAACTGTATTATAACAGAAATGCAAATCAGAAAGAAAAGTAGATAGAGATAGAATTGGTTCTCTGTCAAATTTGTTATAAAGAACAAATACTGTGTATAGTTTCGTCAAAAACGGGGGTTTTCTTTGACTTTGTAAAGTAAAATCAGATCAAAAGCAAGTGTATAAATCTGGAATAGAATAATGCATTATTCGTTAGCAAAATGGGATCTCATCGTTTCATTCCTCTTCCTTCCCTATTTATGGCACATATATCGCACATATGTACAGTTATACATTTCACTAATCGTATTGCGTTTAATGGCTATACATTTTATACAAGTTTCATTATGGTTAGCTCAATTGCTGGTAAGCACTGCAACTGAGAGAGCGAATAGCGTAAGGCTGCAAATCAAATTGACCGATAGCACGTAAATCGAGTTTCTGAGATTACATAGGACAAACAAAGTTGGTTTCTGCCAAGGTATTTCGCTTTGCTATTTGATAGTAGGTATCGCGTGTTTAGAAAGTCAACTACTGTTAGCCTTATATATATCTCTATATATAACTATATATCTGTGTTTATATACGTTTCTTAATAAAGTTATAAGCAACGCTCCGTTGTCTGTTGTGAAATTTAAGCTGTTGGCAGTTCCTTTAAAGCTTGTGCATATCTTGATTGAATGAGAAATGCACAACTCAGTTTCTATGTACATATGTAGATTGTAATCGTTATCAAGAGTCAAGGTAAATCAACGTGACAAAGCAAAAACAGGAGCAACAATTTTGATTAAATACTTGTATGTATGTATGTATGCACTGAGTATATCTTATATATGTAAAACTAATTCTTGTTTGTTTTCACTTTTACGTTTTCTGCTTCTCATTTACTATTTTGGTATGTTTCTTATTTATAAATCGGTAATAAGCGTTTCGTGTTTTTTTTTCTTTTCATTTTTTTGTATATTTTTACTATTTTTTTTTTCTGTTTGTTTGTTCTTGTTTTAAATGCAAAAAATGTTATGTACTGTATAAGAATTTTGTAAGACTTGAATATGGGTGAGTTTTGTTTTCTTCACGTATTTCAATATTATTTACAAATTGTATTGAAAATTTCCTAGCTTTTTCGCGATCTATATCATTCAAAAATTTACAAGTTCACTAATTTACGTGTTTCTGTTTGTGTGTATGTGTGTGAGTGTGTATCAATTAACAATAATTTTACTTGTCTTCGTAGCTCTTCCTGCTGATGCCTACTCACACTTATCCATAGTCGTATAATTAGCAGCTCTTCGTGTACGCATGCATATATGTATATATAACTATTTATAAATACAGTGTATAATCCTCAATGTTGTTTTTTGCTGCTGCTTGTGTATATATATATGTATCATAAATTTGTAATAATTTCAAAAAATGCAAACTATTCACTTTATTGCGACTAAGTTTAGTTGAGTGAATGCGCGAATATCCCATATATTATAGGTATGCACCTATGTACATACATACATATGTCTTATAGCAAAATAATAAAAAAAAACATTCTCAACTGTAACTGCACTATATACGTATGCAAATATATATATATATATAACTAAGCCTTGCCCGTTTATTTAGTAAGCAATTTCATATCATTCGCCCAGAGGATTGTCCCAGAAGATCCATTAAAAATGTATATAATTATTAAACTCAAGATCAAGATAGTTTTTGAATTCATTAATATGGAATTATTAGAATAAAAAAATTGATAAAAGATATTTTAATAATTTATGAAATAAATAATTCGAATAAATTTGCTAAATTAGAAAATATATATTTATAATTTTTGTTATTTTTTTTTTTAATTATTAAACAGAATTTAAATTATTCACAACAGAATCCAATATCAATGCACATCAGTTGGCATATTGACATGGAAATCGATGACTATATACCCCAAGGACAATCCTCATCTATGTATAATTGCCCACACGAATCGATTCATCGATTGGCTTTACTATTATTTCTTGGTTTTTTTTTTTTATAAGAATGCTTTTGCATTTGGTAATCTTAATGTAAAGTCGCATCTAAAATTGGCAAAAATTATATATGTATAAACTCCAAACTTTCTACGGCTATAAAATGTGTGAGTGAGTGTGTATGTGTGTGTGTGTGTTGGCTTTTGTCTATGTATATAAATGTGTGTGTGTGTGTATCGCAGGCTAATATAATTTACAGAAAGTACAAATTTCACATACTATCGATACGATTTGTGAGCTATATATGCAAGTTGTATATATGTATATACATATATATATGTATATATTTATATTTATATATGTTAAGATTGCTACAAGTACAGTTTGGAGTTGGGCATTGGAATCGATTGACGCTCTCGCCGCTAATACATCTCATTCTCATCCCAGTCGACGGACTGCAGAACAAGCTTGTCCAGTTCCTTGGAGTCGCCGTTGCTGCTGTTGCGCCGCCGACGCTTGCGCTGCAGATGGGCCCACTTGCGGTTCAGCTGCGCCATCTGCGGCGTCGCAAACATGGCCGCCGCAGCGGCGCTGAGCTTTGTGGGCGTAATGGCATTGGACTTGGGCGTGCCGGGGCTCATGCTGAACAGCTCGCGATTCCCAAACCGAAATCGGCGCGGCGGTGGCAATGGTGGTGCAGAGGCGGTAGCTAGCGCTAGCTGAGGCGTGTCATAGGGCGGCGGCGGCGTAATCATGGCCAGCGATGAGGTGTCCACATCGCCGTCATCCAAGTCATCCTCGTCCTCGTCCTCGTCCTCGTCGCCGTCGTCGCCGCCTTCATCGTCATCATAGGGTTGCATATGGAATGTGGCATCCGAGTGGGCATGCCGAAAGTGTGCGGGTCGCGGCTCGTACAGCTCGTACGAGGGCGAACGTGGCATCAGCATGAAATGGGCGGACGTTGGATCTGTGGGCGACTGCGGCTGTATGGGCGTGACGGGCATAGACTTGGCTAACTGTTTGCTGCTGGACAGCTGACGTTGTTGTTGTTGCTGCTGCTGCTGATGCTCCTGTTGTTGTTGTTGTTGATGGTGCATTGGTTGTGTGGGCGTTGGCGTTGGTGTGGGCGTAGGCGTGGGCGTGGGCAACGCCTGGATGAGTGGCATCGATTTGGTGTTACATATCAATCAATCACGGTAAATGTAGCTGCAGTTCTTGGGGCTCTCCTGCGGACTGGGACTGCTCGATGGCGGAGCTGGACTGGAACTGCTGTTCGACATTACGGGCGATGAGCCGGAGCTGGAGTGCGGCTGCTGTTGTTGTTGCTGCTGCTGCTGCGGGCTATTTGAACGGTGCTGAGTTACTGCAATGTCAGAAGAGAACAAAACGAAAAAAAAACAAGAAATAGAAACGCACAGCAGGTCAATTGAGTTCAGTGGTCAGCTGTTGAGAGTGCTTATGCAAAGATACTACACACGCACACACACGCTCACACACGCACACACACATATATATATATAGTCAGACACACGAGCAAGTACATGTTGCAACAACACAAATAGAGTTATATTCAAAGCAAATACGTATACATAAATACATAGAAAAATACATATTTACTGCAATTACTATTTTCATATTCTCTTTTTTCTCAAAACTATTTGAAATACTTTTTACATAACATTGAGTCTGTTGCAACATGCACAAATATACAGACACGCTCACACATACACACTTAGATAATAAATCTATAATAAGAATATATGTATATGAAAGCATAGAAATAAAAGAAAATTAAATTAGTATATAACAATCACTTAATATTTATTTAATATATAAATTTTTGAAAACTTTTGTGTATTTAATTTTTATAGGAAAAATTTTTAAATCAAATTATTTGAATTTTCAATTTACAAATAAATATACCTAATATTATATTTTCAAAAATTAATTTACTTAAAAATATATGTCAACTATAATTTATCAAAATTTTGTTTTTTTAGTACCATTTAAAATTTGTAAAAAAAAAAAAAAACTATTATTTAAATCAAGAATTAATTTTGTTCATCGAATACATAGAGAAACACAGCAAAACAGACAGAAGAAGTGAAAGAGAGTCAGAGAGAGAGAGAGAGATACATATATAGACAGAGTTTAGAAGTTATGAAGGATATTGAAATGGACAATTTAATTCAAATTCGTTCGACTTAATTATGTGTGCGTGTGTTTGTGTGTGTGTGGATGTGTAGTACACAATTCGAAACTGAAAACATTGAAAAGGAACAGAAAAACTTACCAATACCATGACGGGGCGGCTGTCTTCTTGGGCGACCAAGACTTCTGTTTCGTGTGTTTGTGTTGTTTACAGCCTAGGAGTGGTGATATACAATCTTTTTATATTTGTTCCTTTTGTATTGTAAATTGTATTTCTTAGAAAAGAAAACTCGAGTAACTTGTACTTTACTTTAAGTGAAATCGAAACTAAAACTTAAAGAAATCGTGTTATCTCTGATTTGGCTAACGAAAATAAAATAAAATGCTTCAAAGATCGAAATCAAATGCGCATCAAGCACTTAAGATCCAATGCTTAGTTCTTATATCAGGTCAAATGCCACAACTTATAAGAATTCAATCAATTTTGGAGTGTTTTTAAGGTTTCTGATCTTTGATTTACTGGACGTATAACCTAAATAAAAGTTCTTATTTAATTGTAATTTGCAAGCAATAAACTGAAAAATTGAATAGCATTACATTAAGTGAGTATTACGAGTAGTTCTATGTTTCTGTGTGGGTAACTGTATTAGATGGTATATTAGAAGTATTACAAATACATTTATCATTATCATATTGTGAATATGTAAGTATCTAGGTTCAAATGCACACACATTCTTTGGCTAATTGGTTTATCGTTTTGGATCGAGTGTAGTTTATCGCTAATACGCAAAGTGCTGGAACGCCCATGCAGAAGAGGAGTTCGAGGATTGCCAGTCTAGGCAAGTGTGGATAGGGGTCGGGTTACAGAGCAAGAGAGAGAGAGAGAGAGCGAGAGACAGAGAGAGCGCAACAGGCATACACAGCTCATACACGCAAAGACGCAGGCATACGAAAGATCGATAATCGTGCATCGATATACATATATGGTCGATCGATTATCGATTACACAGAAATTGTAACCCTTCCGCTGGCAAATGGCAACGAAGCGTCGAGTTGGGCGCGGGCTGGCTGACTGACTGGGCGAGGTCTTTAAGCTGCTTCAGAATTTCTTGTTGTTGTCTGAGACAAGTTCAATGTAATGTTTCGCGGTCTGTTTTAAAAATCAAAAAAAGAAAACTTTGCATTCCATAACGTAATTTACAGTTTACTCGTGAGAAAGAATCAAATTTCGATCAAACTGTGCTGGGTGTATAAGATATACATAAGTTGAAATAGAGAAAGAGAGAAGACTTAGAGGTGATCAAACCGAATTGCAGAGAAAATCATTCAACAAAATTTGGAGCAAAATCTGTTTTCGCAAATTACTTTTGAGTTTCGAATTTCAGTTGATCTCGCAATCGAGGGTATCCACACTGCAGCTATTGAGTAAATTTTGTCAGCCGTATCAATAAACAAATAAAACATATATTAAATTAAAATTTATAACCAAAGACAATAAACAATACGATAAATTCAACAATTTCCAATAATTGAAAACAAAGCAAAAGTTAACTAAAATTTTCTTTAGTTATACGTGAGTATTTACCATATTTTGGGTAATTAGTCCCTGACTGGTTTCAGCCGCCCCACTCCCGTCTCAAAGGTAAACCTAATGAAAAAGGGAAGAAGAAGAAAAGATAGATAGAGTTTTGGTATTTTGGTTGCTTGGTGTTGTCCACATTTGACAGTTGTTCGGCCATCAGCCATCATCGATAGATAGCCTCAGCGTGTTAAGTATGTTTTGTATGTGGAAAAGTAGTTCAGCAATAGAGTTTAGAGCTTAGAGTAGAATATGTCTTAGAGCAGAAAAGATTCAACTATACAAAATGCTTAGAGAGACGCCTGCAAAAGTATCGCAATCGCCCATGTCGATAGATTGGTGTATTTCTATAACGTCAGCGAAATCAAACAATAATTCGTACAATAAACAAACCCCAGACAACTTTAAGCTGAGAATCAGAATTATGGAACAATGTACATGATTTATATATATATATATGTATAAATATATGGATATATATGGTATATGGAGAGAGAATATGAAAATACGTTTGATATTCATGGGCATGCAAATGGGCTAATGGACTCGAACCAAGTTAGATATGCACAACTAGATACATATATGTATATAATTATCTAAAAAATGGGATGATTGTGTTCGATATACATAGATTTGAGTTATGCTTGTTTATTATGATGTTTAGGATATTTGTTTTTGCTTAAATTTGTATAAAGCTAACAAAGAAAATAAATTAATAAATAAATAAATAAAAAAATAAATAAAAAATCTAAACAATAAAAACTAAAATTCAAAATAAAAAGAAATTTAACATCATTCTATAATGATTTATATGAAGTAACATTAAAGGTTTGGACTTTAAAGAAAAATTAAAAATAATACAAAATATATATATTTGAATTGAAAGCATTTTTGGCATATTACCAATTTTACACAATTTGATCAAGAAAATATATTTTACATATGTAAGTAAAGGCATGAAGATGATAATAGACATTCAATAGAGGAAACATTTAAAGTACATAAGCATGCAGCTAGGATGTGAGTAATAAAATATATTGCAAGACTTGAAAATGAAAATCAACCGAATAGAATGAGAAATGGCTGCTGGTGATGTGAACAGCTTTTTATCCAAAGAGTGAATACGATTTAAGTACTAGAGTACACACAAAATGACATACATACATACATGTAGATACAATATACATATATAGATACACATTCACCCACACACCCATACACACAGTTAGATAGAAAGATAGATAGTTACAGACAGAGAGAGAGAGAGAGAGAAAGATGGAGACACGCACAACAAGTTGAAAAGTGAGTCTAAGAAATACACCAATCGACGATTGAGTGAGAGTTCAATCAAATACAAGCGCACCACAAGGATTCGTTTAAGTATATATACTAAATGTCAAAATGTCAACAACATCAAATAGAGCTCAATGGATACGATTAGAGATATTAGAGATCAGTATACAATGAAAATCAAAATCAAATCAAAATTTATATAAATATAGATGAAACGTAGTCAAACGCTTACAACAGGCACTACGAAATGTGGAACTCACCTTCTTGACGCTGCGCGTGGTCGAAAAGCCATCGCCGCGTCTATAGTTGTCGCCCTGCAATTGAAAAAAGGAATTAGTTAATGTTGCTCTAAAATGGAAGCTGACTTTCATCGCATTGGATGCTGGGACTCACCATCACCTGATGCGAACGCAGTGTGCCAAAGTTGTCTCGTCCGCGATATGATTGCTGGGTGTTATAGCCGTCTGGTTGGAACTGGAAGAGCGTCTCCGAGTTGGGGCCCTGGTGCATCTGGTGCATGGGTGGCTTGCGCAGCGTATTCTTTGGCGAGTGCATCTTGTTCTGCGGTGGTGGCTGCGGTAGTAGCACCGGCTCCGCATACGTCACCTCCTCCACCTGTGGCAGCAGCTTCGGCTCCTGCTGTATGCGGCACGACGACGGGAAACTATTCGAAAAGAGCAGTTTAGCTGGCCATAATCAAATATTACGACAATGCCCACTCACCTGTTCACATTTTGACGTTGCTCGAAGTATTCGTATTCCGTATCCGGATACGGCAGATTGTCATCCTCATCCTTGTGGCAGCGACGGCCACAGAAGTAGCCCGTAAAGAAGCCAACCAGCAGCGAGAATATCGAGCCGGCCAACACGGCCATGACCAGAGTCTCGACCGTGTACTGCGCATTGATAATATCTGCAGAAATTTGTGGTCCTTTGATTAGTAAATGCGGTGAATACATTTTGGAATACGTTCCAATTTAATAATATTATATTACGATACGATTTTGAGAGAGTGTATCCAATTGGCACATCGAACATCACAACGAGTACATATGTATATAAGAGATATTTGGCAGGGTCATGTTTGCAAGTAGGATTACGTGTACACAGAATCCATTTAAAGTTGTTTTTGTTTTGTTTTTTTTTTTATGTAACCACAGCAATAAACATCCAAACATCGAAAATACAACGAACAATGCCCCAAATAGCGCATGTTTTTAACGTTGAAACATCAATAAATGAAATGAAACAAGAACAAGAAGAAGACAAAAACGAGTTAATACAAGGAACAACAGCAATGATTGATTCAAATAGTTTTTGGAGTATAATATACAGAAGTGTAGTTGAAATTGAATTAATTAAATCGAAAGTGATGTGAGATTAATTAATTTATAATGTAATACTTTTCATGTGTG